ATTTTTAATTTTATTATATAAAGTTTTTTAATTATTAGCTTTTTATTATAATAACAAATATTATTAAGATAGTTCTAAATAGATAAATAACTCTATAGTATTTTATTAGTAATCTCTATATTATAATGTTAGCACAGGTATAAGCGTATTCAGGGGCGTGGTATATGCGCCTATATAGTATAAGGTTATAGATGTGGTAATGTTATGATAAAAGGTAATAATTCTGATCATTTATGAGCATTTAATTGTATAGATAAGAATAAGGGAACAGATGTATTGTAATGACTCTGGCTGTTGTAGTTAGGAGGTTGTTTCCTCTAGTAGAGAAAAGTGAGGGGAAAGATAACCTGAAACGTAACCTGCTAAACTGCTAATTACATAAAGTGCTTACGTAACTGTACGCATTACATAATCAATATTATAGTTATAAGTTGTAATAAATCAAGTATTTTTATATAAGGCTTTATACCTTAAACTTTATTAGTTTATTTTATAAAGAATATTAAAGTAAGTTTAGCGTTATTATTATTCTTATATTATTATCATTATAAAAGAATGTTATATGTTAACATATAATATTATAGTATTTAATAGAAATAGAAGTTTTTAAAATAAATACATAAGAAGTTAGTAAAAATAATTAAAACTACATAGAGATTATGTAGAGTAATTATTTTAACTTTAGGTATATTTATATAGCTGAATTAAAATCTTTTTAGAGAAAGTAGTATAAATATGACCATTGATAATAATATTAAAATACTATCAGAGTTCTTATCTAATTAGAGAGAGATTTTATAGATTATATAGATATTTTAGCTTTATTAAAATATAATTACTATAGAGAGAAAACTTAAATTAATATACTATAGTAAATACTTTTATAAAGTAGATATAATAGTAATACTAAAGACTTTTAGCTAGCTTTTTATATTATACTAGTAGTAGTTTTAGTAGAATTTTACTATATATCTCTAAATAACCTTAATAAAGAAGTTATTATAATTTTAAATCTAACTAAATTAACTTTACTTTTTTATATATAAAAGATATACTTAAAGTATATATTGTTTACTATTAATAATCGTAGTTAATAAGTTATTAATTATAAGATTTAGAGGGATAATAATAAATAAAATAGTTATAATCTATATAGAGATATAGAGGTATATAGTAGTTAATAATATATATATATATTACTAATTAATAAGGAAGTAGTAGTAATAATTAATATCTTAACTCTAAAGATTAAAAAATAATAAAAAGTATAAATAATATATATAAACTAAAAGAATAATTGATTTTCAGAAATAGCGTTTAATTATAATATTACTTATATTATTTAAACTACTATAATAACTCCTATTCTTTTAAAAAGCTTCATATTAATTAAGTATTAATTTATATTATAAAAGTTATTTAAATATTTTTATTAATATATATATAGTAATTAATAAATTATTAATAGCGTTATATTTTAATAACTAATTATGCCTAGAAAACTAAAGTAGAGGCTAATCTATAGCTTCTTATTAGTTAATCTATAAATAATATAAAATATTAAATATTTCAATTTAATTAAGGGATATTAAATTAATTAATTAGGTAGTGGCGATAGCCTCACTTTGCTTAGTTAGGTTATTTGCATTGTCAATTTACTTGCCCTTATGGAGGCGCTAGCCAAATATGTCATTCGATTCCAGGCTGCTCCAAACACTTTAAGCCCAGACCAGTGATCCATACGACGGGCGGTCTGGGAACAGGAATCGACTCATCGGAAAGATCCAGAAACGAGACTCTCGTGATTCGCGCATGGACAGCTGAGGCCTAGTCGAGGCTTAGGTGTCTCGTCGATCTAAGCGATGTCAAATGATTTGGCAGGATCGACAACAACATCGGATTAATGTCAAAATCATGCCCTCAAGAGTTGTAGTCAGTATGGGGTAGTATTCGTCCGCCCGCTAGCGTAGTAGCGCTGCCTTGGTCAAACTGGTTTGCTCTCACGATCCGCATGACTTCCCATTTTAAAGTCGGAAGACGGACAACTTCATGTTGTTTCCAGATGGCAAGTTGAATGTGAAGCATCATCGAAAGTTGTCTGTAAAGGACTGGTGATCGGAAGGTCCTCAGCCGGTGCCTGATAGAATGGGCTGCTTATCAGCCGGAACATTCAACTCAACTTAAGGCATCATGCTGGACCCTCGTCCCATGCATTCATCAACCCCAAAAAGACCAGTTCAAGCGAAAAGAGCACCAATTTGTCACTACTTGAGAGCTGAGATCCGGATTTTGGCTACGAAGCAAGTCTATCAAATTAGAAATCATACATGCATTTACCCCCACAAGCGTTGTGTTCATCCGACGTCCTCGGCTACACCTTTTCAGCTGCCTGGGTTTCCTCAGCCTTTGGCGCTTCCTTCTTTGCATTCTGCTTGACGCTCCGCCATTCCATCGCCAACGCTCCAAGAATCGAGAGACAGGTCAAGATGAGTCCAAAACGGAAGACCACACGCAACGACTCATTGTAGCCAACCAAAACGTTCTGCTTGACCGAAGCTGGCAGATTTGTCAGGGACGTGGCACCGCTGCTCTCAATCAAAGCAAAATTGAAGCCCGGGACCGACGACAAACGCTCAAGAAGCTGGTTGTTGAGGACGTTCTGGCCAACGGAGATGAAGATGGCACCCCCAAGAAGCTGAGAGAAGAACATGAGGGAGGTACCGATCGGGACATCCTTCTTCGGAAGTACCGTCTGAGCGGCGATGTTGGGGACTTGAGAGGCACAACCGGTGCCGAAGCCGTACAGAATCTGATATCCGATCCACTTGGCACTGGGAGTATCCAGTTGCAGGGTGTTCAGGAGTCCAGCGCCGACGCTCATGAAGCAGACTCCGATGATAAGGAACGGTGTGTAGTAGCCGGTTCGGCGAATGAGAGCTCCCGTCATCAGCGACGCAACGACCATGGAGAGCACCAGTGGGAGCAGGCGAATGCCTGATTTAACAGCAGAGACTCCTTGGATGGCCTGGAACCAGATGGGCAGGTAATAGACTGGTACTTGTTAGTTCAAGGTATGGAATATGTAGGTCAGCGATGCTTACTTATGATCATGTTCTGTGATCCGATGCAGAATGTTGCAAAGACACCTGCCAAGACGCTTCGCTGCTTGAAAACTTTGGGAGGGATAGTTGCTGTCTTGGGCAAGAAGATCTGGACCATGACAAAGCCAATCAGAAGCACGCAGGCGAGTACAAGAAGCGCAACAATACGTCCGTTGTTCCACTGCACGCCATGTTAGTATATAAACCTCATCAATATAAAGTCGTCGCGACTTACAGCATAGGTCAATCCTCCCCACTGCAATGCCAGCAGCAGACAGACGGTTCCTGGGACAAGCACCGAGGTACCATAAAAGTCCAACTGCGCCAACTTGGCCTTGGTGGAGAGCGTGCTTGCCTCTCTATTGGGAAGCTTCAAGAGGAAGATAATCACCAAGGCTGCGACTCCGCCGAAAGGAAGGTTGATATAGAAGCACCATCTCCATGTCAACTTTGTTGTGAAAGCACCTCCAACCAAAGGACCAACGATCGAGGCGATGCCGAAGACAGCGCCGAACATGCCTTGGTACATGGGTCGCTTGTGGAGAGGCACGGCGTGCACGATTACAATGATCTAGGTGGAGGGTGCGTTAGAAGGCGAATGTCTTCCTAGGAAAAGCTTATCTTCCGAAGTACTTACCACTCCCGTGAGGATTCCCGCCGAGCCAACGCCTGCCAGAGCTCTTCCAAAGATAAAGACGTCGGAACTGGGAGCGGCCCCACAGATTGCGGAGCCAACTTCGAAGAGGAATACCGAGACAAGGAATGTTGACTTGATGCTATAGAAGGAGTATATTTTGCCGAAGAGTAGTTGAAAAGCGCAGGTTGTCAGGAGGAAGACAGAGCCATACCATCCGACGTCGGTTACAGAGTCGAATTCATCGGTAATTTTAGGTATAGCGGTCGTGATAATCAATCGATCCTGGAAGATCATGCTGTTAACTCATGGCATTCTTAGTACAGGAGTATCTGCAAAACCTACGAGTGAAACGAGAAACATGCTGATGAACAGAGAGCTCAGAATCAAAACCAGACTCAGGCCTGAAGGATATTGGACATTTTCGGAATTATTCGTCTTCATGCGAACTGCTTCGTGTGTTTCATTTGTCATATCGGCGTCGTCTACGACTGGGTTTTGATCGGGATATGTCGAAGAGTCGGACGGTTGCGCTGAGACATGGGAGTCTGTGGACTGGTTCTTTTTGAAGAACATGATGAAGATACAAGAGGGGGATGTTGCTGTTGAATAGGTGTTCTGAGTGGAAATCTGAGGCGCGATACTGAGCGAGAGAATAGATACATCATTAGGATGGCAAGTTGTGTCTTCATGTATATTGATTGTGTTTCTATGGACCATGATATTCTCGGGCAGCCTAGTCGATGTCCCGAGAAGATGAACGGCATTCTGTTGCTTGATTGGCCTAGCCTGAATGTTGAAATGCCTTCGGGCCCGAGTAATCCAAATGGGGCTAGGGCATATCTTGCTGAGTATCCCCATGGCACGGGCCGGACTCCATATCCTCCATTCCACGGTTAGCAAGTCTCTGGCTATTGCCGCCAATCTTGGTGCGGTTTTGCACCGGACAAACTACGGAAATGTTTGCAGGTCAATCCGGCGGAGGATCTGATCGTCACGCCTTATCCACCCGGAAGGAGGTAGCGCCATGACGGCCTGAGCGTGATTGGTTAACCGGGTCCCGAGAAGGATTACACTAAGCTCGTTTTGTGGCCGAATCGCCCGAAGCCACATCCCGTCATCTTAAAGACTCTTTGGTCTACGGCCCTTCATCGATACCTCCCTGCGTAACTGAAGATTAGCATTTAGCAATCTCACGTCCCGAGATCACGACTGAGGTTCTCCGACTGTTCACCGCCCACGAGACTCACGCCCTGACCTCCAAAATGGCCTCCGGATCACCGTCACCCCACAAGCCCGCCTGCTCTATCTGCTCACGCCGTAAAGTCAAGTGTGATAAAGGAGACCCCTGTTCCAATTGCCTCAAATCGCAATCCCAATGCGTTTACGAGGCTCCCGCCTTGCATAGAAGACCCCGAAAGCGGGCCGCCGACGATGACCTTCTCAATCGTTTGGCCGCTTACGAGGACTTAATGCGGAAGAACAACGTTGACTTTGCACCTCTGGCGCAGACGTGGATCCCGTCGAAACTGGAAGCTCAAGTTGATGAGCCGGAACCGAACCGATTCGTTCCTTTGACGCCGGCACTTACCAGCCCGGGCTCAGCAATTGGTCGCTCAAATAATATCGATAATTCGTCAGGAGACACAGAAAGGCATGTACACAACGTATGGTAGCATTGCCCCTCCACTAACTCTTCAGTAGATGTTCATGGTCAAATCTCAGCCCAGAGGTATGTCAGTTTCAAAGATTGCGACCTCTTTAGCACCAAATCTAACATATCCACCAGCTGAAGTATCCTCCCATCTACGGCGTCTGCCATAAAGACGATCCCATCCTGACACCGATGCCGTCACTTCATCAAATGTTCTCCGCCCAAAATACTTCACCCTCCCAATCTCATCCTGAACCTCAACATATTTATCGACTGTGGCAAATCTTCGTCGACAACATCAACCCTCTCTTCAAGATAGTCCACGTCCCAACCCTACAACAACGCGTTCTCGATGCAAGCTGGAGTCCCTCTTCAGCACCTCAGCCTCTGCAAGCAACCATGTTCGCCATATACGCCCTTGCCGTCACCTCAATGTCGCCGGAGGCCTGCCAAAAAGCTTTCAACGAGAGCAGAGTCGCATTGATGACGCGCTACCGCACTGCAGCCTTCCAAGCCCTAGTTGAAGCGGATTTCCTCACGACAAAAGACTTTGAGGTTGTCCAGGCTTTTGTGTTGTTTCTCTTCATCAACCCCGAGTCCGAGCTGACGGCTACTCTGACCGCCGCGGCCCTGAAGCTATGCAGAAGCCTAGGCATTCATCATGCCAAACCAGATCCCAAGGTATCCTTCTTCGAGAGGGAGATGCGTATCCGGGTATGGTGGCAGTTATACGGACTCGAAGCGCGAACTCGCGCGTTGGGAAGCCCAGATTCGAGGTGCCCACCGTCGAGGAGCGAGTTTGGCGATGTGCGCTCGCCCTTGAACGTCAACGACGCGGATCTACACCCCGAAATGACCGAGGCACCGATCGAGCACAGTCGTCCAACGGAGATGATGTGCGTGCTGATGAAGTATGAAGTCTTCAACTGGATTCGCTCGACACCTGCAGCATCGCTGGTCTTCGAGCATATTGCTCAGAGCCGGGCGAGAGACGAAACCATGATGGAGGTCGAGAGCAAGGCCATCAACGAGATTGAGGGCATCTACTACAACAAGTACCTGAAGGACGTAGATAAGCGTATACCGATTCATGCGCAGACGTTCAACATGGCGAAGCTGGTGATTGCTCGGATGAGGTTCAAAGTCTATCATCCCAGGTGTCGAAGGACCGGCAACAGCGACGATGTTGTTATGAGTCGAGAGGAGAATGATATGTTATTTGAGTTGGCGATGAATTGGGTTGAGGCGGCCGAGGCAGGTTTGCAAAGCAAATTCTCTGCGCATATCTTCACTCACATAACATCCAAATGCCACATCGATGCCTACATCTGCATCATCAGCGAACTTAGGTATAGATGTACTGGAGATCGAGTGAAGAAGGCATGGCAGTCTATTGAAACACTCTACGAGGAGTATCCAGATATGTTGGAGTCGACGAGTACTTTCTTTGGGGCTTTGCGAGACTTGACTCTCGACGCTTGGGAAGCTCATCACAACACAGCGGCTGCAACCCATGACTTACGGGAGCCGGAAGCTACGCCTCGATTCATCCAGACCCTTAAGGATAGAGCGAGGGAAAAGATGGAAGCTGAGGCGCATGCGTCAACGACCCCCAATCAGCAAATTCTTGATGATCTCGGGTTAACGGATGACGGGAACTTGGATTGGGACTATTGGAACAATTTCTTGAGCTTGTAAAGATCTGTTAACCAGTGAGGGGCACTCCGACCTGAAGCTATGCCTAGGATGACCGCAAGAGCTGTGCGGCCCTAACATTTACATGAAGTGGTCGCACTTGACGCTCTAGCAACATCTAATTATGGAACTGTTTAGTCTCCATAGGCAGTCACGAAATGAGTAATCTGTGTCTATGAGGCTAAAGTAGGTACTTCCTCCTAACGATCTCTTTACTAACCCTCGCAAATATTTCTCTTCGTGACTCCCTCGAACACTATGCTGTCCTTTGACTTCAAACATTATCAGCAGACCTTTGCAACAGATCCACGACGTTTGCTCTGAATGCTTGCTGCAGCTTTAGGTCTTCTTTCGTGTCATCGACGACCTCGAAGTCACCTTTAAGGCACTTGAGGACGACCTTCTGGTACTTGTCTCCCATTTTAGCTCCCAAACGCTTTTCCGCATGCTTGATAAGATGCTTCTTAATAGCATGTGGGTCTCGAACTTTGGAAAACCCGGACTTCTCGAGGGTCAATACCGGTTGCCACAGCCCTATGGTAGGTAAGCAATTTTGTTCACCTCGCTTTAGTTGCAACACAACTACACATACCAATCTCAAGAAGAACCACGCCCAGAGCATAAATATCGTGTATCTTGTTGAATATCTGAGTCGGATTTTGCTGTCGCTCCGGATGCCGATAGGTATCCCGAGACAAGCATGCGTCGGCATGCCCGTGTGAGAAGTATTGTTCTGGGCGGCTGAACTCAAAGCCTAAAAGCCAAGGTTCCGATAGGTCAAGATTGTTGTCGAGAGACGTGACACTCTCTTCCGGATCGATGATTGGGAAGAAAAGAATGTTTTCGCTGCGGAAGCTCTCGTGGACCTAGTCAGCGTCAGATTGGAACATATCAGGCGACATTGTACAACTAGAGAAGGTTTCGAGTGGAAGATGGCATGTATACGTACCCACTTTACAAGGTGAAGTTGCGAGATACATCTAGACAAGTTTACTGCCAGACAGAATCGCTGACTCAGGGACGGCGGGTGAGAATTATCTCCAGAAAGAACGTCAAGGAGACTAGTCGGGCAGGGATCAGCGGATTCCGGTAGAGAAAACATGTATGCGACCCTGTTTTGCGGCGTTTGCCTCATCCAGCCTTGACAGCTCGGTGTCCTAAATGCAATCTCTTTGGGCTGGTGAAGCAGGTTGGCAAGCTTGTCGACAAGATCCCGCGTTCGGTCGTCCAGTGGTATGGGAACAGGCGAATCTGGGGAGTAAGAACGGTATTCGACTAGGCACGGCTTGCCCTCCCATTGAAATATGCCAAATTTGTCTCCGAATAATCTGGCATTCTCAATACATTGCCGTAGGGAGGAGTCGTTGATCTCGAGGCTATGAGCGGTGGTTTGGTTCTGGCTAGCAGCTAGTTGAAGCCTTGCGTCGATATCAAACCCTAGCGCTCGAGAATTGTCATCAGTTTCGAGACGGTTGAGATGCTGGAGACTGACACCTATGGACGTTCCAAGACACCACAACTTGATGCTTTCATGAATCCTGCCGTTCAGTTCGCTGAAGTCCTGGACGATGATTCCCACCCGCTTCTTGTCCACAAGAGACCACTTTATCCGTTGAAACGACCTGGGACGTTTCAATACTGAATCGGTGGAACTCAAAGAAGTGCTACTGGGAGCTGGCGAGAGTGTTGCCAGAAAACCTAGTTTCGCTGGAGACTGTAGATCCCTATCCTTAGTGTCGGCTTTCTGTCGGCGATCGAGAAGCCTGTAGGCCTGTTCTAACACATCCGATGCCTGCTCAAGAAAGACATGTATCTGGTCATGAACATCCTTGTCGAATTGTTCGAAGAGCGCCTTGCCTCCATAGGTCTTCGATTCTCGCATCAGTCAGGGACACAAGCAATGAAATTAGTCTCAACACCTCAGTACTCACACTGGACTGTTCGAATAATAGCAGCTGCAGAGCTCTTGTTCGGTTGTTCTCATCTCGAATCTTGCTCTCTAGTGCTCTGGTGTTCTACTCAGCGTAGTTGGCTCAGCTATATATTCATAGGCTCATTCTCGGGCTGGCGGGGATTCTTACAGTGTCAAAGTCTCGATAGTTGGAGACTAGCTCCGCCGTTCCGTTACCAATCTTCCATAATTGGTCGAGCACAGTGATTGTCAATCCGGCAACGCTAAGGGGGTCCATCGCGATTCTCGCTTAGACTTGTGTGCACTGTGACCGATAAAAGTCTTGTGAATGCTTGAACATTCCCAATGATGCCTTACGCAGTCGAAGTCGAGGAGGCGACAGATAGCCCTCATTTTGTTTCCACCAGTCATGTCCTGATCATACAGTCAGCATGTAGCATGATTACTGCACCCCTGTGCGTGGCCTAGTCTTGACTAGAGCCATGCAGCCTGATTCTGCCTCGTGCGACCCAATGGTGCATGGGAGCCACGGAGCCTGATTCTCAAATAGGTTTAGGTCCTCGATGATGCAACTGGTTCGCTGCTCTTCCCCTCAAGAGTTCAAAAGTAAGATCAAGACGAATGCGCTTTGGACATGAGTACTGACTTCTTCTCGTTTTCGTACGAAGAGATCGATAGTCGCGGCATGAGAAACGACGTCTTCATTTCCATGAACTAAGACCACTTTTGAGAAGATGGAATGTGCTCCAGCGTCGGTCGGCTCAACGTTGAGCTGGAATACGTTCTTATCTCGAACATCGGTTTCTACACTGACTTGTGCCATCTTCTCGGAGCGGCAAAGCCAATCGGTAAATGGGCTCGAGGATGTCATCCGGGCAGTGGGTTCGCTTCATCTACGCCGCTACCGCTACGAGGAACTAGCCCGCGAAGAGACTCTTGGTGAGGGCGAGACGTACCTGGTAGAGAAAGCAGTCCAGGGTGGCAGCGTTTTCGCCATCAAGCATCTTAAGATTAGCAACACCCCAGACGAGAAAACTTTCCGCAGGAGGCTCAGCGCAGTGACCATCGAGGCGCAGATCATGAGACATTCACCACTCAGAGCCCATCCTAATTTTCCCACCGTTCTTGGATATGGTTGGAATCTTCGGGCCAAACTAATTATGCCTTTCCTAGTTGTTGAGTACGCTCCGCTTGGGACGCTGCGAGAGTATATTCAGAAGCTTACTCCGACGCTTTCTGACGTTGAGATTCTTCTTGGTGACGTGGTGTCAGCCCTTGCGGCCTTGCACGTGTGTGGCATTGTTCACGGCGATGTCAAACTGGACAATGTACTGGTATTCCCATCCCTGGATCGTCCCGCCAAGGCGGTGGCAAAATTGACGGACTTTGGCCACGCCCTTATTCTAAACGACAAATCGAAGAAGCAAGAGGATGAAACAGTCAAGTACGGAGGTACAACGATGTAGGTTGAGATACGACCCTATCCTATGAAACAACTCAAAGCTTCTTGACTTACCATGTCAACAGATACAATGCCCCGGAAGTGAGAACTCAAGACTTGTTCCCAATAGACAGAACAGAGGTTTGGAAATGTGATATTTGGGCCTTTGGCCTTCTCGTATGGGAGGCCTCTATCGGAGGGGAAGAATACACCAAGTACCTTGCAAGGAGAGGCGTCGCCGCAAACATCTCAGGCAACGATCCTGGCATCAGTGCAGCTGAGATGCTGCACCATGCAAAGCGCTGTCTGCCTAAGGGGCAACTTGGCACGGTCATGTTTCTTCGGGTTGTTCTACACAAGACCATCCAGGAAGATCCCATGAAAAGAGCTGCAAGTATACGTGATCTCCCTCTCTCAGCAAGATGGAAGTACGTACATACGCTGTGTTCATTCATCCCATCATCGACCTCAAGTTCAAAGCTAACAGATTAGAACCGGTGACCTACTTGGACTTGAGACTGATTTGGCCCTGCACTTTGAAGCACCTAGACCAACTTACGAAGTATTCTTTCAACGCAAGGTGACAGCTCAATTGAATGGAAGACTGACATTCTGGTAGATGTTTCGTCTCGACACCGGGAAAGAAATTCTTTGGGATCACCAGCGACAGATATTCCAGGGCTTGAAACAAACAGATACTAATAATCTGTCAAGTCAGCATGGAACCATATCCTGGCAGATTGCTCTATGCTATCATGCCGGCTTCGGGACCATTCAGGACGCTCAAAACACACACAGGTACTGCGAGATGGCCAGGTCAAAGTTTCACCCGCTTGCCATGGCTTTCGGGAATTTGCTGGATCCTCACGAGAACGACTGCTCAGAATCGCCGGAAGAACCTTATGCTACGAAAGTCTCCAGCTTGCTACACTCTAATTCGACTTACTCAGAAGCAATGCCAAGTCTAGTAAAAGCATTCTTTGACGCAAACTCGCCAGCAATATTTGATCTGTTATCCAAAGGGATTCCCCTGAGCTCTTGCTCCATTGACGGATGCAGTCCCTTCCACTGGCTGTTCATGCTTCAGGATACAGTCTTGGAAGAAATAGTCGATAATCTCTCCGGGAAACTAGAAAGACGTCTAGTCAATCTTCCGATGTTCTCGAAAGGATCAGTCCACGACCAGTGGCCTCTGCAATTATTGGGCAGTCCGCTAGCGGTTGCCATCTCCGTCAATAGTTTTCCAGCGGTGAAGGCACTTCTTTCCCTTGGCGCTGATCCCTTTTCCCTCGTCTATGGCCAAACGCAGTTTCCATCAAATGACACTCGATCTCAATGGACGGCTTTTCATATTGCGGCCAAGTACCACTGCAGCGAAATCCTTGCCTACTTATTGGAGCAAACGAAATCCCGACAGCAGACAAGTATCAACTCTCTTGCTTGTGTTCTGAGTTCATCAACCACCCTTGAGCGTCTTGCTATGCATGGTTCCAACCATGCTAAGCAGCTTGCTGAGACTGCACGACTGATTCGCGGGATACAGCCTCTTGGGGCCATGGACGCATCTGGAAGAACTGGTCTAATGATGGCGATCGACTTCCAAGACTATCATGTCATCGCAGCTCTTCTCCGCTCCGACAAAGGACTTGCGAAGATGCCTTTTCGATCCCCTACGAGCCCGCATATCTTCACATATCCCATCCACTTTTCGGCTCAAATCGCAGCTCGTCGCGACGTTCCCGAGACGCTTACCATCCCTAAATTACTCCGCTCATACGCTGATGGTGTCAGCGGTAGGGCATTTTCTCGAGACCACGTGGGGAAAACACCGCTCCATCTAGCTGTGACTGGCCACTCATGCGTTGTCTCCGGCTGGATCCTGGAGGAGAACGTCGAACTAATGCAGGTCGAGGACGTCTTGGGCCGAACACCCTTGTACTACTGCGCATCTTCTGCTAACATTAATCTGCTTCTAGACAAAGGCGCAGATTTGAACCACGTCGACAAGAAGGGAGCGACTGCTCTTCATAGGTTTTGCTATGCCGGAGCATCCGATCTCGTCACTTGTCTCCTCAGGCGGAAACCGAGGCTAGATGTCAGAGATGATATCTTTGGAACACCACTACACTGTGGGGTAATTAGCGGCACTATCGACGTGGTTATGGCCCTGGTGGAAGCAGGTGCGCCACTCAACGCTACCGACATGAATGGAAATACAGCCGTTCATGTTGCAGCTAAGCTCAACCGACATAACACTTTGCGTGTATTGATCCAACACGGAGCGGACATCAGCTTACGAAACATCTACGGGCGGGATCAGAAGGCCATCTCTCTCTGTGCTGCGAAAGGGTTCAGTATCCTGAATATCTTACATCATGAGGGCAGAGACGCTCATGAAAGCCAGTGGATCCTCAAGAACGTCAATGAAGATGAGAAGACTTCTGGGCTCGGAAAAACGCCAACAGGCAATGTGTCCCCAGACTTTCTCTGGGAAGGAGACTCCATGTCCGTCGCGGAACCGGCCGACTCGACGAATATGTGGCAAAATGCGGATGAGGACGTCTACGTATACGGAGAACAGAGGAAAACATACGATCAACAGAAAGAGAAGTTGGAGAAGCTTGATCAAATCACCAGTACTATCACACGATATCTCCCGAGCATATACCAGGATCGCGAGGCTATCACAGTTCTGGTCACCCTGCTTTCCGTCTTCTTCGATGACATCATATGGCAACCGGGCATTGCAAGCCGGATAATTGAAGTCATCGCGAGGGCAGCTCATGACTTTGCGTACATCATACACTATTATGTCGAGAAGGCGAGACGTATGCGGCAGCGCGTCGAAGCATGGGCTAAATTTCTAACCACGCATGACGGGATCCGTCTGAAGGAAAACGCACAGTTGGACTGGTTTTGGTCCCATATGGAAGCCAACGATCCTGTTGGAGCACTTGAGCAAGAGGGCAAGGAGCCAGAGTATTGGCCAAACAACAAGATATGAACACTCACTAGTGGACTCGTCAGAAAACAAATGTCTCCATATCTTTACTTTGCAAGACGAATATCTTTGCGGTCCCTTTTACATCAGATTGAGGAAAGATTGCTTTCCAAAACCGCGGAAGAATCTGCGCATGTAAGAGATATGGAGGGCTTGACGGAAATGGAAATCCGCAATATGGTGTATGAGTCAGAAGAAGATGTAACAGATGAGCGCGAAGCGACTTCAGCTGGGGTGCGAAGGATCAGTGAGCTGGAGGTGTTGGAAAAAGAAAGTGAGTTGACTGGGTGGGAAAGAGAAAGAAGCCGCGATGTGGAAGTCAGGCGAGAAATGGAAAGAAGACGGGAAGTCAAAATAAGACAAGAAGCGGAAAGAAAAACAGAAGCAGAAAGACAACGGGGAGAATCAAGTCCAGGGGAACCGAGGCGGGAAGAGCGGCAACAAGAACCTCAACCAGACGAACCGCAACTGGACGATCCATGCTGTCAAGAGGAAGCGAGTTACTTCGATCATGTAAACCTGGCGATCGACTGGATTGCCACTATAGTGATGGACAGAAAACCTCAGACTATATTCCCTGGCAGACAGAAGTCGGACATCGAGGATATGGCGCGATGGGAAGTAAAAGCCATGTGTTGGAAGACACCAGTATTCGACCATGAGGTCCCAAACTACTCGGCAACATTCTTCAATCATTTCCCACAACTATCGGAACAAGTGTGGCGGGAAAGCTCCTCTCGCGAGTACCTCAAATGGAAACACAAAAAGGCTTTTGTCTTTTGACGGGACGATTTTCAAGCTCAATGGGCTGCTCGGTTTGAGTTCTTCAAAAAAGTCCATACATCTTGCAGTCAAAGGATGAGAGAAGAACAACCTGACGCGGGCATCGAAAATATTAAAGAGTCAAAGCTAACTCTGGGAAGGAAAGGGAAGTTCAAGGCGTTTCGAGAAATCTTCGAGTAGGAAAACAGCAGCTCTTGGCAACAGGTCACCGAGCAACCAGAATTTTGAATGTCATGCTAATCAATCCTTTAACATGCTCACCTATGACTCTCAGGGCCTTGATAGCAGAAACTAATTGATAGATAAAGCGCTGGTAGGCTTGTTCCTGCTTTTCATTGAGGACTATCGAATTGCATGTTACCTAAGATGTCCGCTCTTGGCGATCGATTTTGCTCAAAAGGTACTGGTGCCAATTGAGAAGAGTAGAAAATCTCCTCCAAACACCCGAGTCATTATTTGTGGTTCTCTTTCCTTGCCTTACCTTGTCTAACTTGAGGATCCCAGCTGAGACTACAATGGGTCGCCCATGATTCTGCGACAGCCTGATGATGCGAGCAATTCCAGCCTAACAGAGCAACAACATCTTACTTCACCGACAAAACACCAAAATTCCATATCAGGTTACTACAAGTATATCTATGTTACATAGGATCTGACGAAGCGCCCTGCGCTTCAAAGCAACATTCCCTTCTAGAAAATGAACCGCAGCGTGCCATCACTCAGCAACCTCCTTGGCAGACCCTTGTTCACCCCGCAAAGAGGGTCTCCCACACCCCCCAACGAGGAAGATGTCAACCGTCCCTGAAAGCTCATTCGTCGGGGGCCTAGCGGCGCAGGCCCTCGGGATGGATTCCCGTCCCTCATCCCCCGCATGCACACTGAATCCTTCGCCGCCCCCAGAGATCGTCGTACAAACCGCAGCACGTTGACACGTCCAACCTCGTTGAACTCTAACAATTCTTCGAGTCAGAGTTAGTACGACTTCTCCATTGTTTTCTCCGTATCTCCCTCGAACCTGAGTGCTCGCTTCCGATGGCCCTTAGTCAATAGCGCAGTTACACAGCAGCTTGCATGCCCCTAAGACGCATCCCGGCTTCGCCCTGAATGGTAAGGCTAAACCCAAGAAGCATTAGGACCCTTGAAAGCTGCAGCGATTAGCAAACACGCCGACATCCATTGGCCATACAGACGAAAAAGCCCCCTGTCTAAGACACCGCGTACGAGGTCTCTACCTTGGCCTGCTTCCACGATGCAACGCGGCACAGCTCTAGACGCATCACCAAAGGACACCCTTCCCCGCACCCGATGCACCTCGTCCGCCCGTCCGCCTGGCGCAGCTGGCGGCCGCCATCATCCGTGCGGCCATGTGCCCCAACAATGGGTGTCAGAACGAGAGATCAGCGCGCGGAAGGACTGCGGAATGAGAGATTTCAACAATGTCTGGGCATGTTTTCGTCTCCAATGCAGCTTTGGCGGTGCGGAGTAGGCGTATAAAACCCAGGGTCCGCGATGTGTCTGCTGCTGCGGTCTTCGTCCCGACTTTCTCTGGCCCTGTTGTCTCTCTGATCCATTGAGAACCAACCGTCTTTTCTTTTCTGCGATACCGCCGCAATGGGTCTTACCAAGAAGCTGGCCGATGGCCTCGATGAGGTGGATGTGATCATTGCTGGAGGTAATACCGAAACCTGTCTCTAAAGACACGAGCAATTGCTGACAATGAACAGGAGGAACCGCAGCTTGCGTTCTCGCCAGCCGCCTCGCGACAACTGCACCAGAACTCTCAATTCTGGTCATCGAAGGCGGAACCAATAACCGCGATGTCCCCAACGTCGTTCATCCGGCCTTTTTCCTCGACCACCTTGCACCCGACAGCAAAACCGCAATCTTCTACCAAGGCAGCCCGTCGGAGCAGCTGGCAGGCCGCAGCCCCATTGTTCCATCTGGGGGTATGCTTGGAGGTGGTTCCTCCATCAACTTCATGCTGTACGTAATTTTGCCCATAATTCCGCCCTTTACCCCACGAACACCGTACCCAACAGCTCGTCAACAGTTTCGTCCCGCCCCCAGATCCGAAATGCGGGGGAACGCGGCATATGAGATCGGGAAGGGGGAAAAGTTGGGGTAGCTCGGGGTCTAGCTCCAGACGATCGGCCTCCTTCTGACTCTGCTTTGCCTCACGAGACCCATTGCTAACGAGTCATACTCACAGCTACACGCGCGCCCAGAAATCCGACTTCGACTCTTGGAAGACACCCGGCTGGTCATCACAAGACCTCCGCCCGTACCTTAACCGCTTTGAGACGTACCATGGCAATGGTGACCCGGCCGACCATGGCAAGACAGGCCCCGTGCACATCTCTTCGGGAGGCTTTCGGGTCCCGGGTGCCGAGGACGACATCCTTGCTGCGGCGCAGCAGATGGGATACTCCGAGATCCGCGACCTGCAGAACATGGAGGCAAACAATGGCTTCGAGAGGTGGATGCGTTACGTCTCGCCAGAGGGCAAGAGACAAGATGCCGCCCATACCTTCTTGCACCCGCTCCTCGAGGACGGCAAGCATCCCAACCTCCACGTCCTGGTTGAGTCTAAGGTCGTCAAGGTGATCTTCGATGAGCACAAGCGTGCCGTTGGTGTAGAGTACACCCCGAACCCCGACTACCAAGCTGTCCTGAACACGACGAGGCACCCTGTCAAGACCGTGAAGGCCAAGAAGCTTGTTGTCGTCTCATGCGGTGCATGCGGGACGCCTGGAGTCCTGGAGAGGTCTGGTGTCGGTAACAAAGAGGTTCTCGCCAAGGCCGGCGTTCCCGTTGTTACCGATCTTCCCGGCGTTGGACATGACTACCAGGACCACCATCTCATCCTCTACCCTTACAAGACAGCGCTCTCAAAGGATGAGACACTTGACGAGATCTTCAGTGGACGCATAAGCCACGAAGATGCGATAGCACAGAAGCACAAGATGCTGGGCTGGAACGGCGTCGACATCGTCAGCAAGATCCGCCCAACAGAGGAGGAAATTGACACCCTGGGCCCTGAGTTCCGCACCGCATGGGACAAGGACTTCAAGAACGATATCAACCGCCCGCTGATGCTCAGTGGTTTCTTGCATGGGTAAGTCTCCAGCCTATCTTCGCTTGGGAAAACTTGAAACTAATTTCCTACAGATTCCTTGGTGACCACTCCGGAATTCCAGTAGGCCAGTACACCACCGGCGCAAACTACACCGCCTACCCCTACTCCAGAGGGCACATCCATATCACGGGTCCCAATGTCTCAGACCCGCTCGACTTCAACCCCGGCTTCCTCACGGACGCCAACGACATCGACTTGAAGAAGCACATCTGGGCGTACAAGAAAGCCCGCGAAATCGCCCGGCGCACAGCCCTCTACCGCGGTGAAGTCGCCGGCGGTCACCCTGCCTTTGCGCCCACATCCAAGGCCGCGCTCGTAGACGATGTTTCTGCGGATGCGCACAAGAGCGTTGTTAATATTGAGTACACCGCGGAAGACGACAAGGCGATCGAGCAGTTTGTCAGAGAGAACCTCAACACGACGTGGCACTCGCTGGGAACGGCTAAGATGGCGCCCAGAGATGACAAGGGTGTCGTCGATTCCAGCCTGAGCGTGTACGGTGTGGAGAGGCTGAAGCTCGTGGACTTGAGCATCTGCCCGGAGAATGTGGGCGCGAACACGAATAATACTGCCTTTGTTGTCGGCGAGAAGGCAGGGGATATCATTGCGAAGGAGTTGGACATTACGGTTCCGCCAAAGCTATGAGTGGAACTTCCTTCGTAGACATCCATGAGGCATTTGAGATATTTGTAGCGCAGCGATAGTACAGTACACGACAAGAAATGTGACAGAGACATCTTGGATTACATATGATATAATATTACAGCTCGTACCAACGGCCTGTACCTCAACCCTACTGGCAGGTGAGTCAGCTTGCATTGAGGATGACCCTGAGAGGAAGAATCATGGGAAACGTCCTTTAGACAATGGCGAGACTGAACCATTTCGATCAGCCTGTCCCAGCTCCTCGTAGCGTCCCTGACGTCTTGGTATGTTGCCCATCTCAGATTCTTCCATGATGACTCGGTCGAAAGCTATTTGAGACAACATTCGACCAGGATGAAAAGCATTCAGAATAACCAGTGCGAGCGCCATGGGCACAGCGTCGAGGCAAATCGCGTACACCTCTGCAGTCATTATCGTCTCATTCATTCCGCCGGGACCAAATTCAACCAGCCGAAAAATAAGTCGAACCTAGACGTGAGTTAGCCCGCGTCCTTTCAAGACACTCCCGGAGGTGCTTACGAAGATGAGGATCAAGACGATAAAGATAACCCAGATCAGCTGCAACGAATTGGCATTCCAGGCCGAAGGCGGGTCATGTTCTTCCGGACCCTGACGTGCAGTTGCACAACCACTTCAGTGAAGACGGCGATGAAGATGAGCTGAACTATGAAACCTGCAGTGTAGAGAACCTTTCCCATCTGCATGCTTGAAGCGCTCCTCTGTCCCGATAGCATCGAGCCGCCGGCTCCCGGAACGCCAAAATAAACCAGATCAGCACCGACAAAGAGCTTCGTCATATAGGAGGCTTTGATGCGGAAGACTCGTCGGTCGGGAAGAGAAAAGTGGACGATGCGAGCGCCGACCATATAGGCATATGCGTTGATCCCTAAGAAGACGGCGATCAGTGACTTGTTCGCAGCCGTACGTCTCCTGAGTTAATGAGACAGATGACTTAGACAAGGGAGTGAGCATAAAGGTGAGCGATGAGATGATGTAGAATGGCAACACACGGCCATTCTTCGCTCCTAGTGTTCTGAGGACGAAGGCAGAAGTCTCCCAAACGCCAGCCATGATGATAACCCAGCAGTAACGCTGAACCAAAGTTTGAATTAGAGATCAGACCTAGCTGGAATCATCGCGGAAGCTGAGAATCGCTTACTTGTTTGTACATGACTGCCTGGACGAGGTGAACCAGGGTTGACAGGCCAAACAAAATGGCGAGAGGCAAGGTTTCCTTCAAGGCTAGGGATATAGGGCCAGAAACCGTGGCAGGCACCGTACGGGACATGGCCATTTGAGTCCGGGGCGATACTGATACATGCGGCTGCTGTCGTCTGAGTCGGGCTGGGAGTTGCGACCAGCGTCGAGGCGGATAGTGTGGCTGACATGTTACGGGCTGTTATCGCTAGCTGACTTCAACTTGAGAAGGGAACAAAGTCAGCTCTGGCAGAATGAAGATGCTAAAATATGCACGTTTAATCGTCGTATATCCTCCATTGTCTTTATACATGAATATCGCCAAGGCAACAACGAAATATTCAGCCGGTATTCATCAACACGAGCTTTTGGCACCTCCAAAACCATCCCTCCAGAGCGCACTCTCGTTTTCCTCTTTCGGAAATGTCTCCACTTCACGCGTCTAAGCCATCCCCTTACGCAAATGTGGCCCTACTCTATGACAACCACCTCGCGAAAGCCCTTGCCAGACTCAATATCCAATCCCACAACTAGCAAACTCCTCTTGGCTGCAGGAGATCTCGCCTCCGAAAGCTCAATACTCAGGCCCATATCCCCAAAAATATGCACCGCTATCCGCCTGCGCTCAAGCACCCCCCTTTGCAAAGCCAGGAGGGGCCGAAAGAGGTCTTTGGGCATGAGAGATCCCCAATCTTGGCTTGCCGACGCCAAGAGCTCGAGGTGGCTTTCGATCCACGATATAACGGAGGGGTCTAAGCAGCGCAGCCCGACGACTTGGCCAATAATCCACGTCAGACCCAGGTAGTTGTCGTCATCGCCGGTGCATGGTACCTCCTCTAATCCAGCGATAATCTGGAGGACAAGGCGATTCCAATCGTCTCTGTATGCGGAAGGAAGTGAGGTCGCGCCGGTGACAATGTCGAGGGCCTCGTCGGAGGAGAGGGCTTGGGCGGCGGCGTAACGGGCGTAGTTCATGTTCATTGCTGCACGGTAGGACTGGAAGGTGAGCGGTTCAATCCGTGCACCGGGTGGCTGTGAGTAGAGCTTCTTCTTAATCCTGGATGTCGTGCCGTAGATGGGTCGGTCTTCTAACGGAATCGAGTCGTGCCAGGCATCCAGCCTATCGCGAAGGCCGGCCACTTCTGAGCGGTACGATACTTCCTCGCTTTTGTTAAGCCCAGAGGAACACTTGTTGACAACTGTTTGACATAAGTCTGGCCAGCTCGATATGTCATCTGTGCTAGAACTCGTCTTCAGCAGTCAATGTAGTGATACGAGGGCGTACAGCCGTCGACTCTCGACCAGAAGCGCAGCCAGCTCGTGGCTCCTATCGTCCGATGACCGAAGCAGATCCCAAGATTTGCTAAGGGTATCAGATGACAAGACGGGAGCAAGCTTGTCCCATGGCACACATTGAACAGAGTACCAAGCTTTGATAGGAAACCACGCGGCGACCGCGTGCCTACCCAATGTGAAGAAGAAAGAGTACCTAGGTTATCAGCAGTGAGCGCGGCAGCTTGCTTGGCATGTGTGAGACCGCCTAGATATGTCCCAAGCTTCATCTCTACGATTGAAAACACGCTGAGGATGGCCAGGGAAAGAGCCATGCGGTCGGCGTCTTCTACCGGAAGACACTTGGCAACGTCTTGAAGAGACAAGTGGTAGAATTTCAAGGCCATGACTTGCTTCTCGTTGGGCGCATCGCTGCTGAACTCAACAGGAACATGCGCCAGAGCGTACATCGCTGCACGGTATGCGACGCTGTCATGTCCCACACCTTGCAAAATCTCATGAAAGATGCGTGGAAGCTGAGAGGGAAAGTGCCCTCGCAGCTATTTCTCATCGTAGCCCTCCGCCTTGAGCTCTTCTTCCGGTGTAGTTGACGATGAGCCTGGCGAAGCGGATGTCGCACTCTGCCGCGAATTCACCAGCGTTCCCCGCTTGGCCTGCCTCCCCGCCTTCAGACGCACCGGCTGGGGATCTTCTTGAAACTTGAAGCCCGTTTGGTAACCGGCGCACGGGATGTTCAGCCGTATGCAAGTCTGACATTGAGGCTTTCCCTCGTCGCACTGCGTCGATTCATCAGCCTAATCCAAAATACCCAAAGCAGTCATAAAACAAGAGTGACACCGACTTTGGTGTGTCGCTTACGACATATTAGACAACCAGAACGCGTTATGGTGATTCTCGTCTTACTCTCGTTGGTCATTTCGTGGTGTGTTGCTCCGAGACATGCTGGAAGCGGCCGGTGATGGGGAAGGGGAACTATTTTAAGAAACAAGGGACCGCTTGAAACCTTGTACAAAAGGTGAGCCAAGACAAGGACCTTGCTCTCGGTGTGGGGAGAACATTATTCCCGCGAATATGATGGCCATTTTCTCCTTTTCAGAACGGAAGATTACGTCTTAAAGGCACATTAATCTGAATGACAATCCAATTAAGTCTAGCAGTGAGCCGTTCGCTTATGTTTCAAGACGGCGGTTAGCCGGAGTCTCAGCATCAGCACCGGAGCTAATAGTGGGGCCTACAGTCCGTTGCACTCACTGACAGCGTCCACCCCCCCTTTTTTTCCCCGCTTATGCAAAAACATGAAAAAAAGCCTATTTTACACTATAACGCGCATTTTTCTATATTATACACAAAACGTGCTAAATCTATTACTAGTATTTTAATTATTATTAGTTATTATAGTTATAATAGTATTTAAATATATAACTATATAATAGAGATATAAGGTATATATTTAATATTTCTATAGTAATTAATTTACTTATAAGGATATGACTAATTTAGCTAGTTAGTTTATTTTTATATTGATTAACTAATAAAAAGTATGTTTTATTTCTATAAGAGATTAAAATAATATTTACTAAAGAACTAAAACAAACTTACTATATAGTTTTATACATTTGTTTAGTATATATTTTATATAGCTTTAAGTAGTATAAAAATATACTAAAAACCTGAATATAGTTTTTTAGAATAAATAGCTTTAGTAGTTAATAAAAATAATAACTTTCTAAATAGTTTAGTTTATTTATAATTAAATATTTATTATTACATAGATTATATTTAATTACTAATTATTTCTAAATAGTCAATATATATCTATAGTTTATTATATTAAATATATTAAGAAAAGTATTACGTGATAATAATAATATAATAATATTTAGAATATTAAATCTATAACTATTAGTAATTATAACAATATTACTATTTAAAAACTTAAAAACCTATAAATTAATAAGAATCGTTAATATTATTGAATACATAGTTTACTAATATAAATTATAATATAATATTATTAGTAAAATATAGAGATATAAAAAATACTACTAAAGTTAATACAAAATAGAAATATGATACTATATAAAGCTTTTTAAACTATTATAATATTATAGTAATTTATCTCTCAAAGAGATATAAGATCTCTTATTTAAAAAATTTAAAATTTAGATTAAGTATTTTAAGTATTTTATAATTAGTTATTAATTAAACTTATCCAATTAAATAAATAAGAAGTCTATAATTATTACTGTTTAGTAGAGTAATAAATAATAACATAAATACTTATATTACGTATAATAATATTACTCTAACTAGCTAGTATTTATTAATAAATCTAAGATTAATTAAAATATTAAGATAGAAAGCACTAAATAGATATTAACAAAGCTTATTATATTTTAAACTATAGAGATTAATTAATTTAAGACTTTTATACATAAATCTTACTAACTTTTATATTATTTAACTATATATTATAGTATAACTAATAATAATAGCTTTTTTTATTAAGTATAAAAATATTTTATCCTAAAATATAAACGTTTTTTAAAACTAAACTTTATTATTATTATAAATAATTTCTTTTATTATTATATATTTAAAATTAAGAATTTATACTAAATATTAAATATTAATTTTAAGTTTCTATTTCTGTATTTATTAGATTTTAATCTTTTTAAAAAGTATTTTAGTAATTTAAAGCGATATATTAAGCAGATATATTTAAAGGAGAATAATAATAAGAATAATATTTAGGATTTTATAGAATATCTATATAATTATATTTTAGAGATTAAATATTATTTACTTTAGATTAAATGCTATTTCTACTATTTATGTATTAATTTTAATAAACTAGAGTATATATTTAATAATATTAAATTTAAAAAAAGAATAAATTATAAATATTAATATTGATAAGGAATCTAAATTTTAATTATATTATTATAAAATAAGGAGTTATTAGATCTATAATTATAATTAGTAAGATTAACGTCCAGCACCTTAAGAGGACGACGAGGGGGGTCCATCAAAGAGAGCCCAGCCAGCTCAGAGACGCTGTGGTATATATGGTGAGACTGGGCATAACGCGCGAACCTGTTCTAAAGATGTCAAACCCTCTGGAGATTCTGATAGCAACAACTAATAGTTAATTTAATATGTTGTGGTTAAGAAATACTAGATGTTGTTATGTATATGGGAAAAAAACATCCAGCTGACTGGTCTGGCTGGCTGACTGATGAACCATGTTATATATATATACATATGTATTAATTTTATTTATATAATAACTAAAATATATTATTAATACTTATAGTAATAATTTATAATAATAATATATTACTATAATTTATAGTTAGAAATGTTAATTATAGCTAGAACTTTTAATTATAATTAACTAAAAGGTATTAAAGTAGATTATATTATTTATAGATCTAAAATTATAGTAATTCTATTACTTTTATATATATAGAGTAATAATAATAAATTTATAGCTATAAATAGACTTTGTTATAGTTAAATATATTATATAAAAAATCATATATATAGTCAAACTTTATATTATTTTTACTATACTACCC